ATTCTTTACCTCTGCCATTCTGCCAAAGGCAGTGCAAGATGAGTAAAATGATCCCTTGGTTTTTTTGACTCCAGCAGGACAGGTCCGTTGTTTCTGTTGCATTTGGATGGCTGCCAGTCAACAGCCTCTGTACCCAGCCCAATACAATCCTCAGTGCGTCAGTAAGCACTGGTCAAACTTGAAGATGTGTACTCCTGCCCAGCTGCCTCCTTTCTCACTTCAAGGCAAGCAACGTCAACAAAACCAATTAACGGCATCGCTGCAGTTAATGTTTGTGGGATCTTGCTGTGCGCAACTTGACCCTGTTGTGTTTCCTACATTACAACAGTGACTCCGCTCCAACAGTGTACCTCATTGGTTGTAAAACCCTTTGCGATACCCTATGGTCATGAAAGGTGCTATATAAATGCAAACTTCCCCCCCACCCCTCCACTGAATTGACCCCAGCATCTCCTTTCACCTGGGTACCACCTGCACAGTCAGTGAAATGTAGTCACTGCTCAAAAGTAAGAATAGCTGGTTTGGGGGTAGGTTGGGATACCCCTAACCCACCAGGCGCCTGGACCATGATCCTGAAACTATGACTGAGTTCTAAAGGAGCAGGAATCCAGAGATTGGAACTAACCATCAAGAGTATGAGTTCAGTTCCCATCGCAGCCAATGGTCGAGTTTAAATTTAATCAAACAAATCTGAAATAAACCGTTCTGTTGTGTGTAAGAGCACTTCCGGATATATAACAGAAGAAAAAAATAATTCTGAAATTAAGAAAAACTAGACTCAGTAATGAAGATAATTAAACTACTGGATGGTCATACATACCCATCTGGTTCACTAATACCCCTTCAAGGATGGATCTACCATCCTTGCCGGGTCTGGCCTACATGTGACTCCAGACCCACAGCGAAAGGGTTATCACTAACCTCTGAAATGACTGAGCGAGACACTCAGTTATATTCAAGATGGCAGTTCACTGCTGCCTTCTCCAGGGCAATTAGGGATGGGTAATAAATGCTGGCGCAGCCAGCGACTCCCATATCCTATGAATGAATGAACATAACTAATAGGAGCAGGAGTGGGCCATCTGGCCCATCGAGCCTGCTCGGCCATTCAATATGATCATGGCTGACCGTTTCATGGACTCAGCTTCACTTACCCGCCTGCTCACCACAACCTGTAATTCCTCTACTGTTCTAGAATCTATCTATCTTTGCCTTAAAAACATTCAACGAGGAACCCTCAACTGCTTCAGCGGGCAGGGAATTCCACAGATTCACCACCCTAACTGCTGCTGATAACAGCATGATAGCAGAGGTAGGTTAAAAACTGAAAGAACTGTGGGTGCTGTAAATTAGTAACAAAAGCAGAACAGGTCTGGCAGCATCTGTGGAGAGAAAGCAGAATCAATGTTTTGCCTTGAGTGACAAAACTATAGTTAATCTTTTATAGAGGCATTGGAGTGGGGCAGAGCCTATCCAACCCAAGTGAGATGTTAAGAGATGGAAGGTCATGTGGTGAAGTCTCAAGATGTATGTCAGGCCAGGGTCAGTAATACTAGGCACACCCCCATCACTAACCAGCCCTGAACCAGCCGCTCCCTTACTGC